AAAGAATCCGAAGTTCTGACATCCGTCGACGATCAAGAATCAGGGACGCTGTCTCATTTGCCAAGGTGTCGAAAATCAGATGGGCTGGTCACGTAATGAGATTTAAAGACGACCGCTGGACTAGAGCTGTTACTGACTGGATTCCACGGGATGTCAAAAGACCGCGTGGCCGCCCACCTACCAGATGGTCAGACTTCTTCGTCAAGATCATGAACGATCGGTTTGAGGCCCTTCATGTTCCCGGAGCGAACAGATGCCATTGGGCTACACTAGCACGCGACAGGGACAAATGGAGACGTTACTGGCGCCCGCTCGAGCAAATCGACGACTAACGGGAAGTTTAGTGATTAAGTGATTAAGTGATCTTACCAGAAAGTTAAAAAAATATTAAGGATATAATAGTAGTATATTTCTGTGGTCTTGAAGTAAAAATCACTTGATCACTTAATACCCCGTTATTCATCGATTTGGGCTGGAGCGATAGCACAGCGGGTAGGGATTTCGCCTTACACGCGGCCAACATGGCCGACCCGAGTTCGATTCCTCCGCCCCTCTCGGAGAGCCCGGCAAGCTACCGAGAGTATTGGATATGCCACACACAGTAACAACAAAGTCTCCAATGGAGACGTTACTGGGCCCGCTCGAGCAAATCGACGATCAACGGGAGGGCCATTCATCGATTTACTCGAGCAGGTGCCAGTAACGTCTCCATTTGTCCCTGTTGCGTGCTAGCGTAGCCCAATGTCATCTGCTCGTTCTAGGAACATGCAGAGCCTCAAACCGATTATTCAGGGTCTTGACGAAGAAGTCTGACCATCTTGTAGGGGGGTGTCCACGCGATCTTTTGACGTCCCCTGGAATCCAGTCAGTAATGGCTCTAGTCCAGCGGTTGTCTGTAAGCCTCATTACGTGTCCAGCCCATTTTATTTTTGATGCCTTGGCAAATGAGACAGTGTCCCTGATTCTTGATGGAGATTGAGACTCCGGATTCTGTCTCTCATTGGAGTGAAGCGTGATACTCCAAGCATAGCTCTTTTGATTCCTCTTGAGACCCGAATAGTGTTCTCATCCTGTTTTCGCAGGGCTCAGGTCTCTGAAGCATATGTTAATGCAGGAAGAACAGTGGAATCGAAGAGATGTGCTTTTAGCTGGAGGTTCTTTGTCCTTTTAGTTATTTCTTCAATGCTCTTGAAGGCATTCCAAGCCGCTCTCTTCCTCCGGCGCAACTCAGGTGCCAGGTCATTCATCATGTTGATTTCTCGACCTAGGTATATATAACTGTTGCATTCGGAGATGGTGCTTCTGTTGAAAGTGAATGGAAAAATGAAGTAAAAATACATTTGTTATATTTTAAGTCATACTATATAACTCTTCCTTCTCCCCACCCTCAGTTTTAGGACACGCGCGCGCGCACGTGCACACCCACACACACACACACACATACTTGCTTCATTAACTACCTCTAAAGAAATCTCAGGATACCGTGGTTCTCACTTAAATTCCTATTTGACTATTTGGTTTCCAGTTTTCAGGCTTTCTGTTTTACACCTTATTTTGTGCCCTGGAAGTTGGGTTATTTACTTTGCTTTGCTTTGCTTTGAAGCCACAGCCAGAGATGCACAAGGGTGAGTGTCAGTTTAGTGTTCGTGAGCTGTTCCCACTTCTCCTGGAGGACTCTGGAGTCAGGGATTGACCCGAGGCTCCCAGACGCAACGCAAATGTCCCTTCCCTTTAGCTATCTCTGGCCCCTCGCCTCTGGTTTTCCGTAGGTTTGGTCAGTGAGAGCTTTGGCCAAGTGAGGAGTCTGAGGTGCTTGTGTGTATTGTCCTGCCTCTCTTTGCAGTGTAGCGAGCTGCTTTTCCGGACAAGATTACACTTCCTCTCAGGTGTCCCTCCAGGCTCATGAAGATCAGGGATCACTGATTCCAAGTCAGCAATCAGAAGTGTCTTGCAACGTCTCCCTGCCCTTCCCCCAGTGTATTGTAGATAGCCTTTCGTGAAACCTAAGGAACTCAATTGGTTGATGCTCAATGAGAGAGCACAGGTCACTGGGTCAGTGTGTTAGTTGGAGGTAGTGTGGTACAGTAGTAATCTCCATTTGGAATTGAACTGAAGTCTCTTGGCCTGAATATACCCTCATCATTTACAAACTTGGCACAGAGAACTTTCATCTTTTTATAAGAATATATGAGGACCCAAAAATATTATTATACCAGAGTGCAGACCTCTTATGTATTGTATATATGTGTACCTCTTTGTCTATACGTATATAATGTTTCCACCTCCTTCTACTTTACTCTGAATAACCTTCTTACTGGTAAGGGCTGAGTAATTAAAAGCAGTCATTTTTAGTTCCTTTACTGTTTATGTTCCTATTTTTGCATTTTAGATTATATTGACGTCTTCTCCTGTCTCATCCAAATGACACTTTGTTTTCCACAGATGGTCCTGGCCGCATCAGTAAACTGACCTCTGCTCTGTGGGATTTCTTCAGTTGGTAAGTGCTGGACACGGGTCCCCAGTGAAGTGGAAATCTTTTGCTGGCACCATAACTTGAGCTTTGTATCTGACTGCCCTGGTGTGGGTGATCTAATTGCCTTACACGAGGGTCATTTGTCCTTTCTGTCTTTTAAAAACTATCTCTAAAATATTATAAGAGAATTTGGCTAATCGCAAAGAGGTGATCTGGTATTAACTAACTGATTATTTTAAATGCTTTGAAAATAATAGCAGAATGTTTAATTATGAATGGCTAAGTCATTAAGCAAGCTCAATGGGAGGACGGCCGCTACCAGATGACCCTGTTATGTCCTTTGGTTTCATTAGGATTTGCTTATTGTATAACATGTCTCATTAAAATAGCTTATATCTATAAACCACACACACACACAGTTGCATTGAAAATGTGACCCGAAAGAATGCTTTAAGAGAAAAAGAGGTGCTTAGAAAAATGCGTGAAGTTTTCAAAGTTCTTGTCAAGTGTAATTGCAGTTACTGGAACCTCTTCAGTTTTTCTGACTCAAGATGAGCCATCATGATTTAGTATCATTTGTTTTTGAAGACTTGTCATGTGTTGGGGCTGGGTATGGTCACTGTGATTCCCAGCCTCAAGGACCTTTAGACTAGAAGAGGAGATGGATATATAGAGTAAAGACCCTTTTTAAAAAATATTTATTTATTTACAAAAAATATGTTCATATAGGAAATAGTGTGAAGATTGTTCTATTTTGGCAGGGGCCATTAAGACATTCTATAGGATATGATCAACATGTTGTTAAGGTTTGGGTGATGTGAGCATTTGTATCTATATCTGAAAATATGTATATATGCATGTATATATATATTTCCCTCTATGATTTGTTGCCTACTGTCTGAACACCATCAAATAGGGTATGATAATTATGGAGAATGTGTAGGAAGTGTCTTATGATGTGTCGCAGCCGTGTGGTTCAGGAATATGTTCACTCATATGTGAGGCTTGGCCCGAGCACGTGGAGAGTGGCCTTCAGTGTGGTGGCAGTTGGGTTGTGGAGGCCTTGGGGCGGGGAGTGCTCTCACCTGCCCCCCTCTGTGGTGCCCCGGGTGAAACAGCCTGGCATGGAGTCTGGTGGCATGGCTATGGGGGTCTCATGTTATGCTCCCTTCTGGGAGAAGTAGCCGTGTGATCTAGAGTCACTGTCACTATCACTATCCTCCCGTTGTTCATCGATTTGCTCAAGCAGACCCAATAACATCTCCATTGTGACACTTGTTATTGTTTTTGGCATATCGAATGCGTCATATGTAACTTGCCAGGCTTTGCCGTGTAGGTGAGATACTCTCTGTAGCTTGCCAGGCTCTCCTAGAGGGGCGGAGGAATCGAACTTGGGTTGGCTGCATGCAAGGCGAACGCCCTACCCACTATGCTATCGCTCCGACCCAACCCTTTGATCACGTCTGGTTGGGACAAATGTAGAAAAATGTAGAAGTACAGAGTGACAAAATCAAGTGTAAATGAGCTCTTTTGGGGTAATAAATAAGGAAAGTGATTCATGGAGGAAAGACTCGGGTTGGTTATTCCTAGCATAAAGGGCTGGAGTGCATTCCAGACAGAGAGGAACATTAAAAAAAAACACCCTTTTCACCCAACTTTTCCTTATCCATTTTCATTTAAACAACTTCTGGAGTTTTTAATCTCCTCTGTGGCTCAATCTTTACTTTTTTAAAATTAAAAAAAATTTTTTTTTCATTTTGGGTCACACCTGGCGATGCACAGGGGTTACTCCTGGATCTGCACTCAGGAATTACCCCTGGAGGTGCTGAGAGGACCATATGGGACGCTGGGAATTGAACCCAGGTCGGCTGCGTGCAAGACAAATGCCCTACCCACTGTGCTATTGTTCCAGTCCCTGTGGCTCAATCTTTAATACTTATCAATGCATGGTAGGATTACAGATAGTGATTGGTATTGGTAGTGAAACGATTTTATTCTTTCTTTTCAACATTTTCTATCATATACATATTTTCTTTCATAGTTTGGATATTAAAAACTTTCAGGAGCAGTTATCAGAGTCCGTAGCTGCACAGAAGGACAAATAGATTTGTCGACAAATAGATTTTGGGCTTTGGAGGCTGTTGTGACCTGGTGTACAAGGGTTTGGATGGCGAGCGGCACTGTTGGACAGGAAGCTGCGGTGATGGGTTGGAGTTCAGAAATGCGACCTTTATCTTAGAGACAGTGTGAGACCACTGACATCATTGTAGGGGGCATGGGAGCATTCTCAGACCACACGGCAGGGTGTGACAGAGAGAGGGGAGAACAGTGACGCCTTTACAATCCAGGCAGGAAGACTGGCTTTGAAAGGCTTTCATGTTTGGGTCATGTGTGCTGTTGGGCTGCAGGGGAGATAATTTAGTGAGAGGTAGGATGACTTTGAGGTATCTGTGGGATGGTCACAGAGAGGCTTCGGTGTCCGAAACACCGCAGACTCCAGAGTCTGGGGAACTGGAGGAGAGGAGTCTTTTTTTATATATATAGTCCAGGAGTCTCTTTATTTTTAAACAAACACTTCTCATGCCATGAATTCATAAAGAATGGGCTCCAGCAGCTCAGGTTCCTTTCCATTGGTTCTTTCAAAGTGTGCTTCTCTGGGTGGAGCAGGCTGGCACTTCAGTTGAACCCAAGTTCCTTTCTCTTTGGTTTCCTTCTTTTTTTTTTTTTGATCATTTTCCTTCACCTGTTTTAGGAAGCTGTCTGGACTTTTAGAGTGCTTAATATGCTCAATGCGGACATTAATTCTCTTGGCAAGAATCTTGCCCTTGACTGGTTTGTTAACAACGCCAGTGGCATGCTGGGTAACATTGTAGACTCTTCCAGTTTTGCCATGGTAACATTTGTGGGGCATTCCTTTTTGGACAGTGCCCATTCCCTTTATGTCTACGATATCACCTTTCTTGTACATACGCATGTATGTGGCCAAAGGAACAACTCCATGTTTTCTAAAAGGTCTAGAGAACATATAGCGGGTGGCCCTCCTCTTTCCCTTTGTGTTGGTCATTTTTGCGATTTACTGAACGCTGGCGGTTCCGGCCGAGAGGAGAGAGGAGTCTTTCTGGAAGTCTCCGAGAGACGTGAGGAATGTGAAGGGCAAGAGGAGGGGTCTGAGTTATAGTACAGTGGCTCAGGCGCTGCCTTGCACGCAGGTGACCTGGGTTCAATCCGCAGCATCTCTGATGCTCCCCAGAGCCCTCTGGGGGGCGACTCCTGAATGGAGGGCCAGGAATACCTCTGGACATCATGGAATGTGGCTTCCAAACCAAAAACAATGTGGGGGAGCAGAGCGATATTACAGTGTGTAGGGCACTTGCCTTGAACTTGCCTTGCATGCAGCCAATCTGGGTTTGATCCTGGCATCACATATGGTTTTCTGAGCCTTGCCAGAGGTGACCCCCAAGCACAGAGCCAGGAGTAAACCCTCAGCTGGGTGTGGCCCACTGTCACTGTCACTGTTCTCCCGTTGTTCATCCATTTGCTCGAGTGGGCCCAGTAACGTCACCCTTGTGACAATTGTTACTATGTTTGGCATATCGAATACATCATGGGTAGCTTGCCAGGCTTTGCTGTGCTGGAGAGATACTCTCGGTAGCTTGCCGGGCTCTTCAAGAGGGGCAGAGGAATCGAACTCGGGCCGGCCATGTTGCCTGCGTGCAAGGCAAACGCCCTACCACTGTGCTATCGCTCCAGCCCAGAAATAAATAAAAGACAAGAGGAAAACTGAAAATAGTGTTGTAAAAATCATGAAAAAAAAAGGAAGAGAGAAAACTAGAAAATAGTGCTGTAAAAATCATGAAAAAAAAAAAAAGGGAAGAGAGCAGTGGCCCAGAAAGAAGTAAAGTATCTAGAGGATTCTCTGTCCTCCTGACATTTCTCACCTGTGCCTTTAGGATTCTGTCAAAAGGCAGAGATGCTTTTCCCCATCATCTACCTAAAGCAGCACCCTTCCTCTCTCCGTTCCCCTCCTCGCATACTCTGTCAGCGTGTTGCTTTTTAAAAATCCGTGAGGGAAGTACCAGACTCAGCAGGAGAAAGGGGGAAAGGCGGACAGGAGCCTCCCTTGTGCTTCCAGAGGAAGAACCAAGCAGGCTGAGGGTTGATCAGCTGGAATCACTTTTGTGGGTTCTGGGACTCAGGGGTCTCTCGCTGTCGATGACTAGCTTGGGGGTGCCCAGTGAGGTGGCTTCGGTACGGATTTGGGCAGATCAGTTTGCAAGTGAAAGATTTGCAAGGCTCATCGTTCACTGTCTCTAGAAATAGGCTAGTTCTGGGGAAGAGGACTGGATATCAAGACACCAGAGGGAGGGAAGGTTCCTAGACACACCACCCGGCATTGTTTGTGGAGCAGTGGCAGGACTGGCGAGGTAAGCAATGCATTCATCACGGACACAACATTTAAGCGGAACCTAAATTTGTACCCCTTCCCCCAAAACTAAGTTCAAAAGCTATGTTATAAGCTAACACAATATTTAAAAAAATTAAAATCAATACAAAAATATACACTGTGGACAAAATTCGAACATTTTAAATAAAAACAAGATCAGTAGCAGGCTGTGTGGAGCCCGACACAAAAGGGAAAATCAATTGTGTTGATCTTACGTTAAAAAAAATTTTTTTTCCCCCTCCCAATCTGTGGCAGCCCTGGGCTCTGCCTGAGACACTGAGCTAACTGGGCCTACAGAGATGGTGCCGCCGGGCTCTGGCCCGGAATCTCTCAGGGGCTGCCACAGCCTGAAGCGTTGAGGGCAGGGGGGAGAGGTGTGTGTGTGTGGGGGAGGCGTGTAGTGCCAGGCATCGAACTCCCGGTTCCCACTCCCACTCCTTTTTTTCTTCTAAAACCATCACAGGGAGAGGAAGGACATTTTGACTCATGCTTTCATGTGGTGAGACCTTGAAAGTCAGGGAACTTAGTCATCCGTGAGAAGACAAATACAATCCTGATTTAGGGTGGTATGCCAGTGGGTGGCAGGTGACGTGGTGGGGGCCAGGAGATGGCATTGTTGCCTAGGGCTAGAGCTTTGGTGCTGGAAACTGAAGAGTGTTCTGGAGATGGACGCTGGGAGTTTCTGGAACCTTTGGGATGCATTTAATACCGCTGAACTTAACACTTCAGACCGATTATGCCCAGAGATTTTTATGTTTTGTGTTACCACAGTGAAAATAAAATGGACAGGACTGATGCTGCATTAAAATATTGCTTTGCTGAATTACTGGGTTTTTGAGCATCCCTTTGCTCGTTCCAAACCATCAGCTGGCCTTGGGGAACACTGTGGAGAGAGTCTTGTGAGAAGGAGAGGGTCTCTGAAACTGAGCTTGGGCTGACCTCAGAGGACATCTGCCTTTTCCATTTCCTTTCTGCTTTGGAACCAGAGAGGGAGTACAGCGAGCAGGTGGAGGCCCAGGACTCATCTCTGATCCCAGAAGCACTGCCACAAGTGACCCCTGAGCACAGAGCCAGGAGTAACCCTGAGCAGAGTCAGGTGCGGTCCCCAAACAAACAGAAGCATGAAATGAGAGCTGTCTCAGTAGTGGCTGGACATGGCTGCCAGTAACAGGATTTAGGACATCAGCAGGGGACAGTTTTTTCCCATGCTCCAGAGCAGAGCTGCAGGCAGGATGGCTGGAAGGTCTCTCTGGGTTTCTGTGTTTTTGTTGTGCTTCGGGAGAAGGAGTAGCCCAGACGCACCTGCTCCTTTCACTGAGGGAGTACAGGTGCTTTTAGAAACAACTCCAGCTGTAGCTCTGTGGCTCAGCCCTGCGTCCACGGCTGCAGAGGAGCTGGGAAATGGGAAAAGCTCTGTCCAGGGGGACAGGACCAGCTCCATGGTTGGGCACTCAGAAATCTTTTTCATTTCGTGTGCTTGATTCATTTCTTCTTCACAGATCCCTGGAGTTTCCTATTAGGCCCACTGAAAATGCGGAAAGTGTCCCAACCAGGTAGAAAATGTTGGAATTTGAATTTGGACAATCTGGCTTTAATTCTCTTGGCTTTTTTTTTTTTTTGCCTTGCATGTGGCCAATCCGGGTTGATTCCTCCGCCCCTCTCGGAGAGCCCAGCAAGCTACTGAGAGTATCTCGCCTGCATGGCAAAGCCTGGCAAGCTCCCTGTGATGTATTCGATATGCCAAACACAGTAACAATTGTCACAAAGAAGACGTTAGTGGGCCCGCTCGAGCAAATCGATGAACAGGAGGACAGTGCTTTTATACAATTTTATTTATTTTTACTTTTTAAATTTTATAAAGTATTTCACAATATTTGATTAAATTTAATATTCATACACCAATCCCACCATCATTACACCTTCCCACCACCATATTTCAGATATTTCCGTCCCTCACCCCAATCCTTACCCCAAAACAGAACCAAAATGATATATTTTGTATTGTTTGTTATGAAAAACCGCTGAAAATGCTACAAAATCGTATCCTTAGAGGAAAGAGTGTGGCGGTTGTTGTATTTCACCCGGGGCCATAAGAGATCACTAACATGTTGTTAAAGGTTGAGCCTTATGTGCATATATATATGTAAAAAAAACGTTTATTTCCATCTAAAATTGGTTGCCTCCTACTTTGAATGCCATCAAATGTGGTGCGGTAATTTTGGAGTATGGGGAGGGTGTGTGGTTTGAAGTATCGCGTGGCTGCAAATGCGGCCATATGGTCCAGGAATATATTCACTATTCACTCATAGGTGATGCTCGGCCCGAGTGTGTGGAGAGTGGCCCTGAGCAGGGTGGAGGTTGGGTTCTGGAGGGTTTTGGCTGCCAGGGCTGGGTCCCTTGGGGCGGGGAGGGGTCTCACCTGTCCCCCTCTGGGGTGCCCCAAGTGAAACACCTGGCGTGGGGTCCGGCAACATGGTTATGGCAAGAGTCATGTTATGCTCCCCTCTTGCTTTGTTTCGTAATGTGGAGGTTCAAACCCAGGGCTTTACATCTGGTTATTTCGCCCTTCACTACTTTTATTTTTTGGTGGGGGGGCTCCCAGGGGTCAGGGGCCTGGGAACCCCGCTCAGTGATATTCTGCTTATTGGACTGGTGGTTCCGTGGGAGGGTCTGAGGCTGCAGGCAACCACCAGGGCCACTCTGGGGCCACACCTGGGAGGTCACATAAAAAGCATCAGTCACTCAATGCCTCTGTTGCAAACCACAGCACCCAAAAGGAGAGAGAGAACAGAGGGGAATGCCCTGTCACAGAGGCAGGGTGGGATGGGGGGGATGGGGTGTGGGAGGGATACTGGGATCAGTGGTGGTGGAGAATGGGCACTGGTGGAGGGACGGGTACTCGATCATTGTATAACTGAAACCCAACCACAAAAATTTGTAAGTCTACAACTGCACCTCATGGTGTTTCACTAATAAAAATTAAAAAAAAATTAAAAAAGCATCAACCCTAACCCTGCTGTTGTCTCCCAGTCTCAACTCCTTTGCAGTTAAGAAAAATGGATTTTTTTTATGGTGTCAATTTTTTATTTAAAAGACATTTACTAACACACAAGTAGAAATACTATTATGCATATATGAACTAAAGAAGGATGATTGTGCTACTTACATGATGTCTTTGTCTTTTCACTCTGGACAGGGTGAAAATTAATTATTTAAATGTTATAAATGACATGACACAATTGTACAGCCTGATGGACAAAGGAAAAATTTGAAAATGCTAAAAGATTTAAAATATAGCAGGAGAGACATCCCCTTTCTTTACCTCTAGATAGAAAAAAATGTTCATTCCTTATGCGTTCTCTGCCTCCTTTTCCACCAGGATTTCTTTTATGCATACACACATACATATTTTTGTGGGATTTTTTATTTGTTTAATGTGTATTTTAATTCCCTTTTCTACTCACCAGTGTCATAGACATCTTTATGTACCATAATATAGAATTCTGCCTCCTTCTAAGGAGCTGCTTTAGTAGCCATATATTATTCTATTAGACGACGAAACCAGAGTTTCAGTTTTCATATTCCCTTACTGAAGGTTAGTCATGTTTTAAACTATTTTTTTTTTGCCAACCTCTTGCTCTCATAAA